AGATAACATTTTCAATTTATTACACTTGACTCTCTTTACTAACCATCAGTTTTCGGATCGTTGGGATCAAATAATCCCTCGTGCTCATTATGACGCCAGAAAAATTTAAATTAAAAACATATTACAGAGATTGTTAACCCATAGATCGCATTGTTAAGTAAAAACACTCACTTAATTTAAAATATTTTATACCTCTTTGAGCAAATTACAACATTTTATTTTATTTTTTTTTAATAGAATACTTTTATCTGTATATTCTCATTTCATCAAACGAGTTGCACAAAATTTATAAAGATTCTTTACTATTTTTCGATCTAAAATTATCTTTATCAACTGTTTTATCTAAGCATTTATGTTAGCCTATTTGTTCACTATGTGTTTATATGTCCAAAGTTCAGTCTCAGCGACCGGAAATTGGCCAGCTATTTCAGCTTTTGTTTGTATAGTAACCTTTGCCAAAATAAATGAAAATATTTAGAGAGTGTAAAATTGGTTCTGAAATTGTTTTCGATGAAAAATCATACTTTTACACATAATGTAAATACCAGAAAAAATATCTATGTAAGATTTTTAAATTCTTATTAAAATATTAATTACATTTATTCAAGAATGTTATATTAAATCTTTGAAGCCTTGAAATTGTTCTTGATAATACTAATTTACTATTTCAAGATGTAAAATTTTTTATATTTAAAAATTTTGTGTTTAAATATATAGTTTCTATAATTTACATTAACACCGAATAAAACATTGTCATATATGTATTGACATATTAAAAAATAATTGAATTTCAGTGATGTTTGTCACATTTTTTTTTTTGTATTCATATACGACATGGAAACTTTTAAGTGACCAATTTTTTTAATAAAACTTTATTTGCGAGACCTTTATCAATTTTGAAAAATTGAAATTAGACAGTAAACTTCATTTAATTTGAAAAAAAACAAAACACAGTGGGGTCGCGGCATAGTGGAGACATTGCATAGTTGGGTCCAGTATAGATTTAATCTGACAGTGATTAAAATCACTATCATAAGAAACGCTTCGATGAAAATCTGTAGATAGTGTTTAATTTTAAAAAATTGATGGATAATTGCAAAATCAACATCAACTTTTATTAAAATAAAATACAAAACCCATAATTATCATACAAAAATTGTATATTTTTCAATATGGTAGCCATTTGCGTATAGAAGATAGATCGTCGGGACAAATTTTTTTTTTTCATTTTGTAGTACATAAAATAAGCTTTAATTTTATATATGTTTAAAGGACGCAGTATTTCCGGAACATTTTCAAAAATTAAGTTGAAAAAGTTATTTTTTGTAAAAAAGTTACTATTTTAAATCCCCCCAGTGAGCAGAATAAGTGTTAGATTTTCAAAAAAAATTATATCAAATGAAAGGGAAATATCTAAGGTTTCAATACAAAAAAATATTATTTTTATTTGTTCATTTTTGAAAAAGTTATGGCAGTTTTAAGTACAAAAAACATCCCGATAAAATGTAACTTTTATCGCAAACATTACATTTTTTTTTAAATTTTCGACAGCCATTTAAGCATAGAAGATAAGATGTCGGGACAAATTTTTTTTTTTCATTTGATAGTATATAACATAACCTTTGATTTGATATATGTTTAAAGGACGCAGTATTTCCGGAACATTTTCAAAAGTTCAGTTGAAAAAGATCTATGTTTTTTACAATATTTTAAGTTTTGAACGCCCCCTATATAAGGGGAAATTGTCCAATTTTAATAAAAAGTATGTCAAATGAAAGATGTACTTATAATGTATTTAGAAAAAAAAAATTTGTGCTGATATATACATTTTTCAAAAAGTTATAGCATTTTTAAGTTGAAAATTTAAAATCGAAAATCGAAAATTTTAACACAAAAATAGTGTTTTTTTAACTACGGCAGCCGTTTAAATGTAGAAAAAAAAGTGTCGGGATAAATTTTTTTTTTTCATTTTGTAGTACATAAAATAAACTTTAATTTGATATATGTTTAAAGGACGCAGTCTTTCCGGAACATTTTCAAAAATTAAGTTGAAAAAATTAATTTTTGTAAAAAAGTTGCCATTTTAAATCCCCCCCAATGAGCAGGTTAAGTGATAGATTTTCAAAAAAATGATATCAAATGAAAGGTAAATATCTAAGGTTTTAGTATAAAAAAAAATTATGTTGATTTGTTGATTTTTCAAAAAGTTATGGAAGTTTTAAGAAAAAAAAGTGAAAAAATTTCGAAAATTAGCGATTTTTAAATTTGTAATTTTTTTGGATATTTCCCCCATTTGCGGGGAACGAGGGAATTTTTTTCAATTTTTAAGGGTAATGTCTTCAACTAGATACGATTTGTGATCTTTTGACGTATTTTTGAAAGAAATCGGTCCAGTGAGAGCTGAGAAAAAGTGGCAACAGACATAAAAAAAAAAAACACATCATAGTAAAATTAATACCTTCTCCGCTTCGCATCGAAGCTAAAATAATGATAAAACGATTTTAAAACAAATTTTGAAAAAATGTTAAATAATAAGTAATAAAATAATATAATTAATTTTTTTTTTTGATAAAATTATTTGGAATTTATCAATAAAATAAAATAAAGTTACAAGTGAGTTGATCTCATAAATGTATCTTAAGGTAATATAATTACATAGACTTCTTATATGGAAAGAATAATATTAATCATAATTAACATTTCCAATTTATGAAATAAAAACAAAAACATAATAATAGTAGACAATCCGGATAATAATTTTGAAATATTAATAATCTCTCAATATAAATTTATAATAATACTAAATTATTATAAATTTAATATTAATATAAAATGATCAAATCAGTCGAATAATAATAATTAGATTTTAATGTTTTCACAATAGCGGGAAAATATAAGGTAAGAAACATATTAAAATAAATGATTTCAAAAAATATATCATATAATTTTTGAATAATGTTTAACTTAAATTTTTTTATTATTAGTAATATTTTTTTTATTCAATTAATTAATTTAAATATTGGACATTTATAAATGTTACTATTCATAAAAACTCAATTTGTCGTTACTGTAATAGTTTAAAATAATATTTCTAAATATTTTAAAATATTGTGTTAACATTTTGATAATATTATTATATTATATTGATTGTAATAAATAAGAAATATCTTTAATTTCTATATTACAGGATGATTTTTTTACTATCGAAACATAAGAATATTGGCTAAATAATTTTGTGGTAAAGGTACTACAATGTTTAAGAACCTCATGAGAACTATTTGGAGATATTTTCACAATGTTTTCATTTAGAATTAAATTTTTTTATAATATTTTGAGAATAATAAACTGTTAGCTAGGAAAAACTGCAATAGTTTATAAAAACTATAAAAAATATAATATAGTTTAAAAAGGTTAATCAATTATTTTTTTTTTTTTTTTTTTTGGTGTGAAATCATCAATCGACAGATGTTTGTCGAGTTTTATGTTATAAAGTATATTAAAAATAAGAGACTTTCTTAGAGGTGGTTATTGTATAATAAATGGTGTGATTTAAAAATGCTGGCCCCAGTATTTTTGTGAATAAAAATTTATTCATAAAAATGTACTAAATGACATTCTATTTTATTGTTTCTATTTAATAAAAAACATTTTTTTATTTATTTCTAAAATATATACATTTATAATCTGTATACATGATAATATAATAATTAATTTTGTTGTATAATATATGCATAATAAATAGTAAACTAGATTATTATAAACCATGCATCAAGTTTATTGTAAGTAAAATAATTTCTCTAGAGTAGATTTTAGGATTAGCTTACTAAAGTTAAATGGAAATCTATCATTTTTTTTACTATTAAACAGTAAATAGATTAAATAAAATATGAACAGGTCAACAATCAGTTTTGTATAATTAATTTATAGATTAGCGTTTAAAGATTGAGAAATAGTGAAGACTGGAATAGTGTTCATGCTCTATTTTTACTATGTATATATAGAGTGATTTGTAAAATCACACTATATAAAAAATATAGCTAATGTAAATATAATGTGTAAATTAGGTCTTTTGCTTCATAAAAATTTTAACCATGAACAGTCCATTTTGTAATAATAATTTCGAAGCATTTTACTTTACACGATGGACAAGTTATACAATTGAAGATAGTAAATCGTCGAGTAATGTAATTTATATTTTTGATATTTTTAAAGTCCTGCTCTCAATTTTTGACATGTCGTTTTGTCATTTTTCAACAGGATTTTTTTTTATTGTAAGTTTTTTTTGAATAATATGAACACCATTGGTAATATTATTTTATCAGAATAAAAATACATCGGGTATGAAATATTTTAGATCATAATCGGATTTTATTTTTAAAATATTCTTTAATATTTCTGAAATTCGTATTAAAAGTTTGTTCTATGACACATGGATTTTTATTATTATTATTATTATTATTATTATTAGTTTATTCATTACATTTATGTAAATTTTATGTAACGGTACTTATGTAAATATTTATATTTCAAGTGAATTAATGTACGTTTAATATTTTATTTTAGTATATATAAAATGTTAATCAATGTTTTATTATAAATATGATGAGTTAACTATAGTAACTCCGTAATAACTTTTGAAATGTTAGCTAACGTAAAAATTATAATAAATAAACTTCTTTTTTAAGTTAATTATAAAATTTTCTCTTAAATATTAAAAATTAATAATTATAATATTTTTATTTGAAAACAAATTCAAAGATTTTGAGTTTAATTTTAATGTAAAGATTATTTGACTTAATCAATTTACAAAAAGAATAAAGAGAAAGATTTTACTTTCAATAATTATTTAATTATATTGTTTTCAATTTTAAATACTAAACTAGCCTAATAAAAAATATTTATTAGTTACACTTTTATATGAATTAAACTATTATTGACTTAACAGATCAATTTATAAAATGTATGTTGAATGAAAAAAAAAAAAGATTTTAAAAACTTACTTCATTGAAACTTTAAGCATTGATTCATCACTTGATATTTTCAAAACTGCATAAATAAGAATTTAAATATAGTATTATTATCACTTATCGAATTTGTACAGCACGTGATCGATGAAAAACAATAATATGCCAAACTCGCGTTTTAAAGTTAACGCGCGCTTTTTTATTGAATACACAAAATGTGATAGTTGATGTGTTAAACGTGTACTACAGTCGGCGAGCAAATAACATTTTCAAAAGACAGCCCGATCATACTAAAGGCACCCGAGTACTTCCCTCAACGCATGCGTCTTACAATAGACAACCACGAGAATTGGTACAAACCTCATAGGATTCGTGTCATATTTTATTCTTCTACGATATTACTTATTTGAGCAAGTTTGAAATTTATTGTTTCAATTAATTTGATTTGAATAACTTTATTATACGACTATTCAAATAAAACTACTTATAATATGTGACATACAATTGTGTACCGTATTAGAAAATTAATAATAATTTTCACTGGAAATTCATTTTTATTTTATACTAAGAAAAATGTTTAAATTAATAATTTTAGGTTATGAACTTATGAACTCAAAATCATGTATTCTTAACGTGCTCATTGGCGGAGATTTAAGAAAATTTGGGGGGGGGGCTAAATTGATTTTTCCTCACTATATATATATTTTTATATAAAAATTCATAGAATTTTCTAAAAACATTAAAGATTACTACAACTTTTAAGAGGGCTAAGCCTTTTTAAGCCTCTTTTCCTGATTCCCGTCAATAAACATGCTTATGTAATAAATAAATAAAGTAAATAAATGTATTTCTTTATTGCGATACAATAGATAGTAAAGATGATATTATGAATATGATTATGACGTTATAATGTACTCCGGATATTGTATAAGTACATATCATGTCCTTGAATTAATAATATTACTATACATTGATGTAATATGATATAGCGTATTAATTTAATATATTCTATGCTTAGGAATATTAATACAATTAGCAAGATCTACTATTGAGCGCTCGAGTCACCAGTAAAATGATTATACCTTCACTGTTTTGGGATGAAGAGAATATTTATGTCTCTGTAAATAATATTGGAAGAGATGTAACAATTTCAGGGTGAGTTAAATTTACCAAAAGAGATACTTTAAACGATGAAACTGATACGGTTCAAAGCATTACAGTCTTACTAGCATTATAGTAAGTTTCGTTATTTTGGTATATTTCCGGTTAATAATGGTTATTAACAGCACTATCATTGTCAAATATGTACTTTGTGTGTAAAACATATTATTTTCTATTGTATCTGAAGTGAAACACATGTAAAATATTTGTATTCATTTAAGTCACAAATGTTATGTTTAATTTTGTATTTATAACTGTTTTTTAAGTTTTATCAATATTTAAGTAAAATTACTATAAAAACTATCTAAATTTGATAATTCTGGCTAATTTCAAAATTAAGAATGTAGACATTATTCAGTATATAGATTAAAATTTTGAAATTTGTTCTAGTTAAACTTTGAAGATATATCTTAATGCAAAATTGACTAATTTTGAGTTATAAATACAATTTTTATATTTATTGGAATAACTTTTGACTACTGTCATTAATCTATTACATCACACGACCTACGTCGCAATAATGTAGTCGACGGTTTTGGTTTTGATGGTAAAGTTCCGTGAGTAGTTCATTATTGATGGACAACAACAGATAATTTTTTGAAGAAGAAACCGAGGAGACTAACACATTTAATAATAATCTTCGCGTAATATCGCGGCACTTTCGCTGGCATCGGCGGCGCGGTTTTCAACATGGTCCTCGAACATCAATAAGTTAGCTGGTGCGGTTTCGGTTTGTCGTGTCCGGTCGGCCGATACGACCGGAGCCAGTGGAGTACACTCTTGACGCCGTCACTTCGATAATGTGAAAATAACTCGATGTACATTTGCGGCGGGTCATCGTCGGCCGTGCAGTACTTGATGGACTTTGCGTTGCGGTGTATGGCACGCGGTGTTTGTCACTTAAACTACCTCATACCCATAGTAAGGCGATGGCTGACAAAGATGGCGTGTCATAAAATGAACTTTGAGATCTGCGATATTTCTTTTTACCTGGTCTAACATCCATTCGTTTTTTCATTCATCGTGCCTGATAAATTAATTTTGAAAATTAAAGCAACCAATAATTTATCAAATAAAGTATAATGATTTTGAAAATAAATGTTTATACGTGATTAAAAGTATGAGTTGATTCTAAAAAGTAATTAACAACTGATAAAATCTACTTACTGTACAGATTTTTAAGTAACGCCTAAGCGCAGGGCCCCATTATAATTAATCAATTAGAATAGAAAGCACCAGCTTCCGAGATCACGCTAAGGATCGCTTAACTACCCCGATCTGACTATAATAAGCCATTTTCTTCCATCAAAACCAGTTCTGTCGGTAATTTTAAAATACACAAAATCTGTGACGCTCTAATCAAGATTTCACTCTCTGGGACTTGGTAGTTCTTTCAATTAATTTGGACTTAAAATATTTATCAATTTAAAAACCATTATTCCTTTTCCTATTTTTTTTTTGCACTTGGAGTATTTTTCTTCAAAAAATTAAATGACACTCAGAAATTTTAAAGTGAATTTTGTTTTAGTGAATCTTTTAATTTAAGTTAATTTGTTCATTATATAATAATGTTTTATTTATTGAGTTATTTATTTTTCTTATTGTGGAAATACATTTCAAATAATATTATAAACATTAAACGTTTTTTAATTATTTTATTTTAATAATAAGTCTAATCTAACTTTAAATTTTATTAAATAGTAAAGTGTTTGTGAACTTTTCTTATTGGGTAGCTAGTCTCATTACTAATATCTTTGTTTTAACAAAAATCGCGCCGGCAGACAGACTTCAAGAGCACAATTTTCTAGTTTAAACTGAGATTTAAATTAACATAATAATAATCTTATTAGACTAAGGGTATTGCAATTCTATACTTATTGGGTAGCTAGTCTCATCGCTAATGTCTTTGTTTTAACAAACATCGCGCTGGCAGACAGAGTAAAGATTGCAACTAGATATTATTCTAGAATTAGGTGTATTAGGTTAGAATATATTTGTAAGCCTATGCGCACTGGGTAGCTAGTCTCGTCGCTAAAGTCTTTGTTTTAATGAACATCGCGCCGACAGGCAACACAGAGAAACTTATATTTACCCGTAAGTATTCTACCCATTCATGGTATGTTTAATTTTTGTGCCGCATCCTTTCAAGACGTTAGCGCCGGGACACTTTGGGCCACCACAATACCGCCTTGATAAAATTTTTACATAGATATAAATATTTCTGAATCTTGTATTGGCCAGAGAATGATTTAAGAAATTTTGGTATTATAAAATAAAATATACTCTCTCTCTCAAAAAAAAAACTTATTCAACAAAAGTAAAAAATTTAATAAAGAAAATTTTTTAATTATACTTTTAATAAAAATAATGAGAGTTTAGAATCTTTTACAAGTAAAATCAGTCATGATTTTGTGTAATTAAAACTTATTATATAAAATTTGAATCTTTTTCGTAAGTATTTATATTGTCTATATGACGTGTAGTTTAAACCGTATACGAAGTGCATATTATACCAAAATCAATGTTGGATTACTTAGAATATAATTGTGTATCATAGGACATAAGGTAAGTGCAATTTAACCTATATTTTCAAACGTCCAACAATCTATTGCGTAATAAACCTTTAAGAAAAATTATATAATTTTAAGGGATATTTAACATAATTTATTAATTAATACTATTCAACCCCGAGATATCGATATTTACCCATTCATTAATTTTATCCCTTTTATCCATTTATTACCACACTACCTTTACATTAATATTTTTCTATCCTTTTAACCTATTTCTTTAGTTTTATTATACTTTTATTTTAATTATTTTTTTGGTTTATTACATATATAATTAAATATCTATTAAAACTATAAAATACAGTATGAAATTAATATTTAGTAATTTAAATTTGTAATTTTTACAGAGAATACAGAAAAATAAATAAAGTAGTTATTATTTTTAAAGCGAACGTGTATAAAAATTAAAGGGCACGGTACAAAACTTTTCAGAAGATAATTTGTGGTTAATTGTGAATGAATGGTCTACAAGAAATTTTCATCAGAGTCAAAAATGTACGTCTCTAAGCCCATTTTTCGTGTTGATTTCAAATTTGCAATTAGATTTTTCCCATCGTCGCTAATTATTGATCTTATTAATAATTAGCTTAAAGCGATTATTAATTTATAAAAAAATAACCAAAAAATATAGGTTAAAATGAAATTCAGCAACACAACAGCCAACACATTCGTAGGTGAAACTAAGTAGAGTACATTTTTGAATATCAGTTTATTTTAAAATACAATAGAATAAAGTTTATTCAAAATAACGGAATATAGTTCTGGATATTTTAATTGCAACAACAAGAGTTATATAGAAATAATTTCTAAAAATTCTATTTCAATGAATTATTACAATAAAAATTTTAAAAAATTAGCGATTTTAACAAAATGTTGGGTTTTTCTAATAAATTTTATGTTTATCATAATTATACAAGTTCCTGATCACATATCAGTCTAAAAAATGCAATTAATTTGGATATAAATAATTAAAGAAAAATGTTGACGTTTTTTTACAGTAGCATTTTTGAGATATTTGCCTAAATTGCTTGAATTAAAGAATTTTTTTCAATATTTGGTGATTATAAGTTCAACATAATTAAAATCGTGTTTTTTGACGTATTGGTCATTAAAATCGTTTAAGTGAGAGCTAAGAAAATTAATAGGTAGACACAAAAACGATATAGTATAATATTTAAATATGAATAAGAAATTATTTTTAATAAGTTATGGCGATTTTTAGAAAATAATTTTAGAATTCATAATTTTTTAGAGTATTTACGGAGAACGAAGGAATTTTTTCAATAATGGTAATGTCTTCAAATAGATACGATTTGTGATCTTTTGACGTATCGTTGAGAAAAATCGGTTTAGTGAGAGCTAAGAAAAAGTAATAAAAGACGCAAAAAAATACACATCATGATAAAATTAATAACTTCTCAGCTTCGCATCGAATCTATAATGTGATCAATATTAAATTATAGTAAAATCTTAGTAAGTGTATTACCCCATATTTCTTCATTACTTTCATATATTTATTTTTTTTATTAGGCAATTAGAATTACTTAAATATATCATGTTTTTTTTTTATTCATATTC